ATTTAAACTGCAGGCACCAGGATACCGGCAATAAAAGCGAACATATTCCGTCGGCAGGTTTCAGGATTTTAAGTTAATTTAGGAGTAATCACAGCGCTGTGTCATCTGCGATGTGTCTGTCTCACAGCCAGCTGCCAGGTTTGATTAATACTTTGTAATAAATACATGAATAAAGCACAATCATACTCAGTTTTGGGCCCGCTGTATTTTTAAATATGCAGTAGAGGTATTTAAAGGTAGTAGAGGACATGTACCTGTATATAAAAAACGCGCCCTATAGTCCGGTGCGCCTTATGTGTGTGTTAAATACAGAAATGGCACACATAACTGAGACTGTGCCTTTTAGTACGGTGCGCCTTATGGTCGTGAAAATACGGTAAGCTCGAGGCTACAGCAGTTCATACAGCAGTGAAAAAGAAAAAGAAATTCAAATTGAGTCTCACCCATCTCAGTGTCTTCACACACTATTACTCCATATTCCCAATTTCTCACACTAAAAAATAAAAGACATTAAAACTAAACTGCGTTCAACTTATTTATGTATAAAAATACCATGGTGATCAAAATTCAGTCCGCGTTTCTTAACACAACCTTACTGCTAACACACGAGGACTTGCCAGGTCGATTTCCAGTCTGTATTCCCACCTATTCACTGTGCCAGATATTGAACACAGACAGTTCTTACGAGGTATGTCATTTTAATTTTATCTTATTTCATCTGCACTAGGATAATTCGCTCTGTAAATTACTGAAGATTTTAAGCAATCTAGTACTTCAGTCCAGGTTTGCCTCTCAAACCCATAGAAGCTCCACAAAAAGAAAAAAAAGAACCATTGCATTTTATTTTTCAAAAGATCAGCCACCCAAGAAAAGACCAACCACATACAGAGAGGATGTGCAAGACAACTCAGTTATCCAGTATTTATTAAAGGAAAATTCCAGTTTTTAACACTTTTAACCCCTTTTCTGTAGTGTCCAGGATGAAATCGAATGATCAACACCAAAATTTTGACGATTGGTCCTGTCTCGGCTATTTGGCTCATGCAGAATCCCCCCCTGGCTGCTTCAGAATGGCTTGCATAGTGCATGTCAGATAATGCATTAAATATGCTACTCACCGGGTCGTCAGCGCTGTTCAATGACGTTCAAAAACAAGTTTCGTAAAGAAAAAACATTCCTGTAGTGTTTTATTTAGCATTTTGTAAATCCCATTGAGTTCTGTTGGAATAGTCAATATCCCTCCGCCACCGGAAACGGAAAGGGGGCCTGTTTACGCTTAGTTGTAGTCTTTTCACAAGGCCCAAGTGTCTCTGCTTCACTCTGTGTACTCCGACGTCGAGGTGCTAACGTCTCTGTTAAACACTTTAAAAAACTCTGAAAATGGAATACACAGTGGTCCTACATTCCCAAAGTATAGAGACATTGTAGCCAACTAGTGGTCTGGAGTGTGCAACGCTTCAGATTCGAACGGGAAGCGGAAGTTTATAAGCGGTTGTGATGTATCGGAAAAAATAGTTCTGGGATTTACAAAATGCTAAATAAAACAAGACAGGAACGGTTTTTCTTCACGAAACTTTTTTTGGAACGTCATTGAACAGCGCTGACGACCCGGTGAGTAGCATATTTAAAAAAAAAGAATGTTTAAGGTTGTTTTAAGGACATTATCTGACATGCACTATGGAAGCCATTCTGAAGCAGCCAGGGGGGGATTCTACATGAGCCAAATAGCCGAGACAGGACCAATCGTCAAAATTTTGGTGTCGATCATTCGATTTCATCCTGGACACTACAGAAAAGGGGCTAAAAGTGTTAAAAACCGGAATTTTCCTTTAAGGGAATGTTCTCATTTTATTAACGTATTACTTATCTTATTAATTTATCCTTTGTTTGGCCTATTGAATATGTTAATTTAATTTCCATCACATTTTCCAAATGAAACATCCAGAGAAGTGCTGTTTTGTGTCATGGTGAGTTTTGATAAAATCTACCACTTGCTTGAGGGTATGAATTGTTTAGCCGTTTTTTTTCAATAATAAGAAAAACTAAAACATAATGAATGAAACTTTTTAATCCTTAGCCTATTACCAAATATTCATACAGTTTAGTTTGCATGGATTTCGATTGCACTGGTTCCTGTATTAATGCCAGCAATCCAGTGATAACTTATTAGTTTCCAATGGGTTATGTTACTTAAACTGCATAGAATAATCAATAAACAAAGCTGTGAAATTCTTAGTTTAGGGTATATTTAAGATGCAAGTATTTCAGTAGGGCCCATACTTCTCTACTTCTATTCTTTAAAAACTACCAGAATATAGAAAATAATGGATATTGTGAGAAAAATGTTTCACACAACTACATATCATTTATTGTTACTCAGTAACATTTACTGTGCTATAAAAATCCCACATTCTGACACTTTGTTTCAGTTAAATCCTCTAAAAAACCTCCAACCTATAGCTGCACCTGTCCTCAGAGCATTTTGATCGAATCCTAACAGGGTTTCCTGTCAAACTATTTCAAAATCTCACCCCAAGGTTTGGTGACAAGTTGGCAGCCCTGGAGTCTCTGTGATTAGATAATGATAGTATAACTGCAGCCACATCATTAGCAACAATGTTAGTTGAGGGTACAAGTGTTTATCAGTTACATACGGGACGGTAATGTGTTATAATAACAATTTTTTACTACATTTATAAAGGTATATATATTTAGATTCCATCATGAGGAGTAAAAGGCGGGATGATTTAGGTAAGGATGTTAGCATCACGCGTTAGCAGGATCTAGTACAACTAATTCAATTAGACTATTTAAATATTTTTAAGACCACTAAAAGTAGCTGCTTTCTTGTTTTCTGATCCGCATCAGTTCTGCATTTGCTATATATATATTTATTTCCCAGGTACTGGCCGTGTTCATCACTCATTCATTCTCATTAGCTGCTCGGCTAACAGTGGTTAGCCAAACAGCTGAAGCCAAGTTACCTGCTCCTCCAACCGCTGGATTTCGGCTTCATTTTCCTTGTCATCCTCTGACGAGTCGTCCTCTTCGTCTTCAGAGTTTTCTAACCCCATGCCCTCCTCTTCGTCCGACTCCATATCCCTTTCCTCCATCTCCGCTTCTTCCTCCTCCATATCTTGCAACTGCGTTTGCTCTGCGTTGCTTGGCGCTGCCATGTTGGAAATGCTGTCTGCCTGGTAACAAGGCGACACGATGACGAGGTCCAGTATATGGCAGGCCATTACAGCATATTAAACCACACATCTCATTGTTTTAAAATTTGGTTTAGATTAATATTACACCTTTATTCACGTAAAATGCATTTGGTCAGATATTTTTTGTTTTCAGTATTATTAAAAAAAAAAACACCTTTAAAAGTGAAACAGCAGTCTTAACAGTTTGACTGTTCTGTATAAGTATCGTTTAAATTCACAATTTAGTTCTGCAAATCAATAAATGTATTGCTTTGAGGGATTACTATTTTTAGTGAGTTTTATTTTGCCAAAATGAGAATGTAAGCAGTCATAATACTGCTTATAACAAGAGGTGGATAGTAACTGGTTACATTTACTGAGTAGCTTTCCAAAAAAAATGTACTTTTAGGTGTAGTTTAACTTTACTGTACTTTTGGCTTTTACCCAAGTACAATTCTTGTTAAAGTATCGCTACTCTTACTTGACTGAAATTTTTGTCTACCCTATGCAAGAGTCAGCAATTACTCAATAGCTTATTAAAGCCATTCTACATGCAAACTTAAAGGCCTCAGTATGTCCAAGTCAGACAGAACACCTCTGATGTCATCACTCAAAGCACAGGCTCCCCTCGGGGATGCATACTGAGCCCCCTACTGTTCACCCTGATGACACCCGACTGTTTGCCCAAGTTCACCTCCATTCACATGTTGAAGTGCCTAGACGACACTACGGTGGTGGGCCTCATCAGATATGACAACGACCAGGACTACCAGATCATCGTTGACTTCAGGAAGAACTGGCCTGACCATGCTCCACTGCTCATCAACTATTCAGCTGTAGAAGTGGACAGCAGCACCAAATTTCTGAGGGTGCACATAACAGACAACCTCACCTAGACTCTAAACACCACCTCACTGGTCAAAAGAGCACAAACGTGCCTGTACTTCCTATGGAGGATGAGGAGAGCCCACCTGCCCCCACCCATCCTCATGACCTTCTACGGAAGAACCATAGAGAGCGTTCTGACCAGCTGTCTCACTGTGTGGTGTGGAGGCTGCAGCGCCTCAGACTAGAAGCAGAACAGCAGAGAGGATCATCGGGGCTCCTCTTCCCTCCATAAAGACATTTCATCCCAGCGCTGCGTGTCCCGAGCCCGTAACATCATCAATGACCCCTCTCCCTGCTGCCCTCTGGGAAGAGGCTTCGCAGCATTTGATGCAGTACCAGAAGATTCTGCAACAGCTTCTTCCCCACCGCCATCAGAGAGCTGAACTGTTCAGAAAACTCTAAATCATGTCACAGACTCTGCATTAACAACAAACCAAAACATAACATAATTGCACCATATATATTTAATACACTCTGTGTGTTTGTATACACTCTGTGTATACAAATTGACAATCAAAGTTGTCCAAGTATAAGAGTCTATGTCTAAAATTATTAACCCTGAGTAATTTATTGGATAACTACTTTCTAGTTTCAGTTGAAATATATTAAATAGGTTCTAATCTTACTTTAATAAAAGTTTTGGATACTCTCCCCACCTCTGCTTATATATATATATATATATATATATATATATATATATATATATATATATATATATATATATATATATATATATATATATATATATATATATATATTTTTTTTTTTTTTCTTTTAGTTAGCTATACAACTTTTCCAAAATCCCTTTTTTTGCATAAATTACAAGAGCCGTGTGGCGTAATTATATGCTATATCAGCCTACCGTACTCCTTTAATGAATATTAAAAGTGGTCGCTAGAGGGCGTTCTCTTGCGAGAAAACTCAGACTCATATGTTTGTCAACAAAGAGGCCCCCGTTAGTTCACTTCCGTTAGCTGTCGAAGATGGCGGCGGTCCCTTTTTCTGTATCTTTGCTGTCAACATTCAGCAAAAGGTTCTTGCGACCGGAGCTTACTGCTCTTTGCTCTTACCACAAAAAGGTAACCTACTACTGATCAATTCCTGCTTTTGACTACTACTATGTGATACGTGGTTGCCCTATAAGTCAAAACAGAAGTTTACATGTATGTATAACTTTCCTGAAGGTGGTGGACCATTATGAAAACCCGAGGAACGTTGGTTCTCTGGATAAGAACAAGAGGAACGTGGGGACTGGGCTGGTCGGTGCCCCAGCCTGCGGGGATGTTATGAAACTTCAGGTGAGCTGGAGCTGCACAAATACCGCTGCAATCCTACAGGTATGTCAGTTGATGTTTACCACTGATGTTGTTTTAGATCCAGGTGGATGAAAACGGCAAGATAGTGGATGCAAAGTTCAAAACCTTTGGTTGCGGATCAGCCATCGCTTCCAGCTCTCTGGCTACAGAGTGGGTGAAGGGGAAGTCGGTAGGAATGGCACTGTCAACACATCTGTTTGGTTTACTCATTTACATACAGAGGATCTGATCCATCTACTTTCCCCCCATCAGATTGATGAAGCCCTCAAGATTAGGAATACTGACATTGCCAAAGAACTCTGCCTTCCTCCTGTCAAGCTCCATTGTTCTAGTAAGTTGAGTGTTGTTTTGTTTTTTTTAATACAAAGGATTTTAGATGATTCCAAATGAGCGGATTAAATGTTTCATTATGATTTTATATGATGAACCAACAGAAAGTAGCCCTCAGTTGGGAAGTGGGAGGAATGGTTTTAAATAAATCTGAAAAGTGACATGCGTCTGTTTCCATGTTTCACTAAACCAATACTTTAGAGCAGCGGTCCCCAACCTTTTTTGCACCACGGACCGCTCCATGACAGACAATATTTTCACAGATTATTCTTAAACAAAAATAAATTTAGTTTAGAACAGCTCTCTAGACCTGTAATGCATGTAAATAATACATGCTCCTTGTCCTGGTTCCTTCCTAACTGCCAGCATTAGAATAGCATTTATTATGGCGGCTGCGGTTCCACTGTAGCTTAGATTGCAGGTATTTGGATCGATCAGTGGTGTTTAGGCTTGAATCTCCCCAGTGGACCAACTGCTGTGATGCAGGTGTACAAGAATGAGCGAGTACAAAGGTTCCCGCTTAGGACTTTAGTATGTATATAAGAAAATGTATTAAGTTCATTTTTTTAAATGCATATAATTGTTTCTAATAAATAAGTTAAAGCCCTTGCTCTAGTTTTAACAGGTAGTTTCTTTACTTGAAAGATCTGTGGTTTATACATCATATGCTAACCTCCTCCTGTAGCTAACCCTGCTCTAAACTTCTGCTGTATCCCTTCAGTCGTCTTAATGCTGCTTGTTCTCCCATGTTAAACTGCATTAGAGGCAGAGTCTGTCAAGAAGATAAAGAAAAACAACATGCCGCACTTTTCAGCTCTTATTTGTAGATCTTTACCATTATGGCTGCTTTTTGTTGATCCAATAAAAAACATTGATGTTTGCTGCACTGATGTGGAAAAAGCATGAAAAAGTAAAAGGGTGCTACACTTTAAAACACTGTAAATGTATAGAAATATTTCACTTTATTTCTACTTTCATGAAAGATTATAGAAGATAAAAAATCCTTGGGTGGAAAAAGAGCAAACGTCTTCACTGCTTGTATGAATAAAACTATAAACAAAGAAATTACAGCCGGATGTCCAAGATCACTTTTACAGATAAATAAGTCAGCTTTACAGAATAATAGATCCATATCTTCCAGTTGAGTTTTTTCAGCTTTCAGCTTTTTCATCTTTTTAAAACTCTCCTGAGCTTCTAATTAAATCTTTCTTGTTGTCAAAAGGAGTTTATAAATCCCATTTCTAATCCATTTAAACATTTTTTTTTAATTCAAGCATTACATTCTAAAGTTTACTATCCAATTATGAAATGACTAAATGCCCTAATATATAAGTTTTCATTTGTGATATATTTAAATTTTAAAAAACAATTTATTCCAGATTATCTTGAGGTTTAATTTCAGTTCTTTATATTCATGGTTACAGTGTTTCTAAATCTCGCCCCATTCTTTTTTTTTCCTCAGTGCTTGCAGAAGACGCCATCAAAGCAGCTCTATCTGACTACAGACTGAAACAGGAGGATAAGCAATAGGAACCTGCCAAAGCCGGTGTTAATACGCTGCTATGTACCTGATTAAATATTTGATCGATATCAAACATCCTCAGCAGAGCTGCATGACGCTGAGGGACTCTGAGCCTTGTTTGCAGATAGCATTATAAAACCTGTAGCTGCCTCTCGTTCAAGACGATTCTTCAATTTTTTTTTTATTCTTTTGGTTTTCTTGCCCTGCAACGTGTTTTTTTGTTTTGTTTTTTTCACTCAGAACAAAAATGAGATCTGTAACGAAACAGGAACAAAAAGGCAGGTGTGCCTTTATCAGATTTGGCTCTATTGATTTATTTGGCTTAAAATTCAACCCATTTGGTTTACATTTCCTATATAATAATTTAAACAATCTTGTTTAAGACTGTTTGCACATGTTGAAATAAACAATTCATCCTCTTCCGTGTGTGTGCTGCTTTCATCCAACGGGCCTCTCATTGGCAGGTTCCACTCTCTGCTGCTGTACCAGAACCTTTTTTAGCACAATTAGCACCGCCATCATTATAAGAACCAGCAGAACACACAGCACAGCGAGCAGAGAGACGACCACTGTGGAGTCTCTCTGGTAGAACATCTGTGGGGCTGCAGTAGGCGGGACTTCCTCCCTGAAGGTGGACAGAGCTGATAGTGTCCCTGCAGAAGAGGGTGAAGTGCTTAAGAAATAAGGAGCTGTCCTGTTTTCTCTGCATCTCTGGTCCTCCCCTAGAAAAGATTCAGTTTTTAGCTCAGTTGGGCTGAATGAGTGAGACATATTGAAGGATAAACACTCCTCATAAGTCAAAGTCTCCAGCGAATAGGGTAAAAGTCTAGCCTTGTGGGGATCATGGGGGTTTTGCGTTTTAGTAATGGGGAGTCTCTTTGATATTTCCTTCAAAGGTGCCTCATTGTCTTCATATAAGCCTGGATGTGATGTATCCATGGCCGCTGCATTGTTGAACATGAGCTGGTTTGTCTTCCTGTTTGGCTTCAGGACATGGGGACAGATGGATATGACTGAGAGGTTCAGCAGCAGATGCTGAGCAAGGTGGACCGGCTCCTTGCATACCACATCTGTCGCCATCTTCAGCCTGCCGCTCACCAGCCAACGATACAGGTACAAGATGTCACACTGGCAGACCCACAGGTTGTCAGTTAGGTCCACAGACCTGAGACGTGGTAGGATGTCAAACGTGTTTTCTGGCACCGAGCGCAGACAGTTACTGTTGATCTGCAGGACCTGCAGGTTTATCAGGGCGGAAAGTGAGGGGAGGTCCAGCGAGGCAATGCAGTTTCCTGACAGGTCTAAGTCAGTCAGTGAGGGTGGGAGGTTCACAGGCAGGCTGCTGAGCTTGTTCCCCTTCAGTGTAAGAACCTGCAGCTTATTCAGACCCTGCAGGGCTCCGGGCTGAATGGCACGGATTCTGTTGTCCTCCAGATCCAGGCGGGTTAGGTTCCTCAGCTGCCTGAGGGATCCAGAGGTGATATAGGTGATGCGGTTCTGCTGCAGCAGCAGGGACTCGAGGCTGGGAGGCAAGCCACGGGGGAAGCGGGCCAGCAGGTTGTGGCTGAGGCTGAGCTCCTGCAGACCCGAGAAGGGTCTGAGAAGGTGGTCCACGTTGCAAAGCTGGTTTCTGGCCACGGACAGAGCAGAGGTGCTGAGAGGGACGGAGCGTGGGAGCGACCTGAGACCCAGAGACTCACAGAGGACCAGAAAACCAGGGCCGGGACAGCAGCATCCAGGCGGACAAGGAGACATGGGGAGACAGATGAGGGGACAGACGAAGAGGGCGAGGAGGACGTCACATCTGTAGCAAAGCATGTCTCACTGTAAAGGATGAGGGGGTTAAATCAGACGTGATGAGGCATTTAATAAAACAGCTAACCTGTTAATTGTTTATTGGGAATAATTGTTTCATTTTTTTCCTTTTTAGTTACATTTTAAGTATTATTTAAAGATTAAGGTGAAACATTCAGTTGTAATCTGATAATTGTTATTTTGAACCAAATTAAAAATATATATCTTTTGCTATAGCTTAATTTATCCGTTTAACCTAAGTTCTAATTCTGATTTTTATCAATACTGATCATTTATATTTAAGATAAGTCAAAATTTGCTAAATTCCTCAATCATTAATGCATTTATGATAGTTTTATTTTTAGGTTTAGTAGAATTAAAATGTTTAAGCCAAAAATACAAAATTGAAATAAACTAAATATTGTGAAAATTTCTCTCCATCCAGTGCAGAGGTGCAGGTGGTTCTTTGGTTCTGTGGTTCACATACTATGTATAAATTAATAAACTACAGTTTTGTTTTTTTGTTTTTTTAAATTCTTTTTCAGTGCCCACATGAAAACATTCTGGCCCCAGCCTGGCCCCCCCTAATAAATTTATTCTGGACCCGCCGCTGATTAGATGAGATCATATGTTTCCCTTCCTCTATCTTTTCAACTCCATCTGATGAATCCTTATAAAAGATTTTATTATTCTTAATAATCCATCATAGGTGGCTTTCAAAGAAGCAGGTCTCCTTTAATCATTGCTAAAGTTTTATTTAAGCACAGGTCTCTGATCGGTCGGCCCCTGGTGTCTGTATGATAATAGTCAGACGATCCCTTTCTTATCAATTATTCACTCAAGGAGACAGTGAAAGGAAATGTCCTGTCAGAGTTTTAAAATCATGCCATCATGAGTAACGTACATTAAACATGCGCAAAACTTTAGCTACAGTGTAATTGAAAAGGTATTAACACCTCACAAAGCGTTTATTTGCAGATTTTATTTGAGACACACTTAAAATCGGTCAGAATTGTTAATTTTGACTGACTTTAATTGATTATAAATTATTAATCCTTAATCTTGAAAATTCCTATTTCATGTTATTTGGTTATCATAGTAGAAATAATTCATTATCTTTAGATATAGAAGTAACTAGGGTTGATGGAGTGAGTGAAATTAAGTTTTTGGGTGTTATTGATGAAAATATTTCCTGAAAGTTGCATACTAATAGTATAAATTCAAAATAAAAAAAAATAATAATTGCCCTATTATATAAATTAAAGGATTCATTGAAGAGAAGCGACTATATCTATTATATGATTCTTCGTTTGTTTCTATATCGATTGCATCGAAATATGGGGAAATACGTTTAAAACATACCTACTACCAGTCTTTGTATCACAAAAAGGTTTTTTCCTTTCAAAACATGTCAAGCTATTTAAAACTGTTAGTTTTTAACAAATAAACACTGCTGTACCACAATAAATCTATTTAAAATACGTGAAGGTTGGAGCTCGGTGGTGACCAGAGATAAAAATTTAAAGGACTACAGATGATTTGGAAACTAAGCAGCTCTGACTCTAAAGCTCCGGGTTGAATCCCAGCATTAAGCTGCCCTGATGAAGCTATTTTCACCCTGACCTTGTCAGTAATGACCTCCTCACTGCAAAAAAAAAAACATTTGATATTTTTACCAAAGGATGGTTTTCAGCAGGCTGACTTTACAACATAGCTGTGATGCTCTCATGCTTGATCATTAATCCAAACCATAAACCTTTGCAATGAACAATGAATAAGTTACTTTGGCAGCTACAGCTAAAGTAAAAAGCTTTGAAAAGCAAAGCATTGAAAGAAAGTTGTTTTTCAGTCCAGATCTACCCAGTTTTTACAGCTGGATTACCACCAGGACAGAAACTCCAGATTTCCCCACAAGATTGATACATAAAAATAAAAATTAGAAAAGTGCAACTAATTAAATACCATTAAGTTTACTAATGTTGAATCTTTGTTTTTCTGAATCTGCGTAGTAGGGTAGCAGATGTGAAGCCATATCCATCCACCCACTGCAGCCGTGTTTTTCCATCCACTCACGTGCTAATGCTCCTGGTTCTATTTTACCACTTTCAGATCATGCATTTCATCTGTGTGTAAATTTACACAGATACACAGTGTAGCACATCACCAACTCTTCTCACTTAGCAACTTTGCTTTATAAAAATTAATTGAAGTTTAATAAATAAATAACAACATAATTGACTTTAAAACTATTAGCTGACTAAAAGTGATTCACCAGCTGGAACTGATGTGTGTCTTTGAACAACCAGGCAACCACAACATTGTTTCTTTCATTACAAGCTTTGTATATTTGCATTATTATCAGCTGCTAAAATCTTGCTTAACTTACCATTACCCTGTTTTGGCATTATTTGCTCCTCTGTAGAGATGAGCAGGGGTCTTGGGGATCCTCCGTCTCTAAAGATGACCACAGCTGCTTCAAATTCCAGATGGACTCTCATCAAACTTTCATGACTGCCTTAAGGTGCTCTGTTACCTGTTCTAGATTCTCCTCTCTATCCACATTGATTGAGAGGTGCTATTCTTTGTAAACATAAAGACAATCAGTTTTACATAGAGAAAAAAAGGCTTCTGTGTCTCAGGTGTCCTCTTGGCTGAGGCCTCTGAAGGTGGCTCTCATGAGGAGTGCCTTTAACTGGGAAGGTTTCTCAGAGGTTTCTGTGTTTGTGCGTCTTTCCTGCAACATGATGGGGAAGAGTGAAGGGGGAGTACTTTCTGGAATAATTTAGCGCTTTGCTGGTTAAAGAGCAGGGAATCTGAGCCGATGGGGAGGTTCTGTCAAGGCTCATGTTTCCAGCCGACCTGGCTGCTTTTGATTGTGTGCTGTCACCTTATTTTTGATCTCTGACATTTTAATCTGTTCATGATTCAGATCAGATTTTTAGTCAGCTTTATTTGATCATTTTCTTTAATAGATGCTAGATTTCATTTGTAGGCAATGATATATATTGCTAAATGAATTTGGCTAAAAATAAGTGGAAAGCAGAAACACTTTAACTGGACACATGGGGGCAGTATTTCAGTAGTTCATTAGAAGATGGATGCAAAATGTTTAAAAAGGCCTGATAATACATAAATCTCAGACTAGGAATTTAAAATAGATCCCTTTATTTAACAGGGTTAAAATAAACCAATGACCTTCCAAAGAGCCTTTGGAAGGGAAGCAGAACCACAGCATAACCGATCCTCCATCCTCCATCACTTCATATCCAGCTGGATATTTAAAAACATGTCATGGGAAATCAATTGATATTTTAGTTTAATCTTTTCAAATTAGATCTGGTAAATATAATTGGGAAAGATACTTGCTTTATTTTTCTAACGTA